TTCCTGTTTCTATGATTCACCGCTCTTAATCTATTACCTATCAACACAGATATCGGCAAAGCTACTGGCAGGCAGGGCCCCGACATGTCCTGGAAAGAGTTGAGAGTGCCATACGCCCTTGAGCCTGGACCCATCACATATCAGTAAGAGTTTGTTGTGTTTTGTACACACACATCCTTATCAGGCTTCGGAGACTGCAGAAGCCCCCTCGAAGGGAGGGGAGGTGGTCGACGTAGGCACGGTGATGGAGACGGGCGAGATGGTGCGGGGGGTAGAGGACATGCTGCCAGGGGGGGGGAGGTGGTTGACGTAGGCGCGGTGATGAGGACGGGGGAGATGGTGCGCGTCTCCGCGGTGATTTTGGTGGGCGTCGTTGAGGAGCGGGGGTAAAGGACATGGTGCCAGCCCTGCGTATCGCCTTCGTTTGGTCTTTGAACTCCAGGAAGGAATCGGTGCCAACCCTCTGTATCTCCTTTGTGTGTTCATCGATCTCCAGGAGGGTGGGCGAGGGTGAAAGGGTGAACGGAGTATCCTCAAAGGCGTTGACAGGGGGGGGGGGCAGTGGAGACTCCTCCATTTGTCTCATAGGTCTCCCATAATCAGAACATTCCTCAGGCGGGTGCAGTGATAATTCTTCAGGGTTTGCTGCGTGATGTGTTGTGTCTTTCTCGTGTTTTGATTCCTCCTGCCGCTTGTCCTTGGCAGAGGGAACAGATTGATGACGCAGGCAGTTGAATATGTTAGAGATAAACAATTTCACTCCTGACTTGTTCAGGCAAACTCCATTTGCCTTGAAAAGATGTCTGCGATCCCAGAAAAAGTTAAAATTGTCAATAAAATGAACAGAATGGTCAGTACAGGCCGTTGAAAGCCAGGTGTTCAGTGCAAACAATCTGCTGAATCTCTCCACTCCTCTTCTGACTGGCGGTAGAGGGCCACTGATGAACACCTCTGCATTTAGAGAGCTGGCAGTTTCCAACAAACATTTAAAGTCTTCTTTCAGCACTTCTGACTGTTGTTTCACAACATCATTTGTTCCAATGTGCAGTACCACATTCTTCACAGTCGGATGTTCAGCCCCAATATGCAGGATCTTCTCAGCCGAGTCAGAGACCACATCCTTGGGAAAACAGAGTACTTTGGTGTTGTTCTTATTACACAGACCTTTTACATCTCTTACAGCAGAGTCACCCACAATCAGAGTTTCAGGCCCAGTCGTTAGCTTTCCCTCTAGCCTTTTACTTTTAGAGTAGCTATTGGTCCTTACCCTGCTGCGTGAAGAGGACAGGTTATCCAGGTCATCAGATCTCCGGTTCTCGGTCAGCGGAGCGTATCTGTTCTGGATTGGCACACTTGGTGGTTTAGGAGGATTGTTTGTAATTCTCCCTTTAGCAGCTGTCCACTGCTGTTTCCTAGTATGAATAGGGGTTGAAGAGACGCTCTTCCTGGGTGATAACAATGCAGGCCAGCCGGTCGCATCACAGATTTCGGAGCTCTGGGCTCTGCCTGTTATCCGTCCTCCCAAATCCCATGGAAATGATTTACTCTTAGGCTTTGCACCCAGAGAGTTCCAGGGAGGACTACCACTTGTAGATTTATTACCCGGTACACAGCCCTCCTGTTCCTTGGAATCCTTGTAGCTGCTAACTAGCTGTGAGTTAGCATACCCTTCTCCATTATTTTTGCAACACTGGTAAAGTCGTGTCATTCCCACGACATAGTCCATTCACTTCCACGTTAACTTCCAACCGTTGCATTTTCCTTTCCAACACAGCCATCTTCTGTATAAGTTTCTGGAAGTCATCTGTAGAGAACGGAGGCATTTTGCTACCAACTAGCTAAATAGCAGTAGCCTACCAGGCTTTAGCTGTTGCTAGGCAACGCTATTGTAAGACTGACGTCGTCGTAAAAATGTTGAAATATGGCTGAAACCCTCCGTCTATTTACGAAGATGAACTGTCCCAGTGATAAGTTAATGTCCAGGAGCCGCTGCTCGAAGTTTTCAGAGAATAAGAAAAGGAAAATCAGCATAAAAAGTAAGCAGAGGCAAGAGCAAGCAGAAAAGCGTCTGCACTGTAAGAAAGATAAGCAAGAGACGTCTGTAAATAAGCGGACCATTTAAACTAAACTAAAACTAAACTAAAAAAACGACCCTAACTATTTTAAAGCCCTTGTTAGAATCATTAGGTCCTGAATCCAGATTTATTTTCTCTCTCCATTCATTCTACTGATTCGAGAGCAGGAGATCGGGCGGGGCTTAATGGCAGGAGGCGGGGCTGAATGCCAGGAGGCGGGGCTTAAGGGGAAACTGAACTGTGTTCTCTGAACCGCATACTGGTACTTCTGCTGTGACAGCAAGGCATGATGGGTAATTTGTGACGTTGTGACGCCCTCACATTGAACTAAGGTGTCTTTCTCTAACTGTAGTAGCAAGGGGAAATATTTAATGCATGTGGTATTTTATAATGAAACAAAATATTGTCACAAACTATTTTTAATAGTTACAACATTTCGCTGTGTGTGTGTGTGTGTGTGTGTGTGTGTGTGTGTGTCTCACCCTTCACTCCTCTTTCATTGCATCAGCCCACATTTTTGATTTCTTAGAGCCTACAGCCTGCTTGTATGTTTTGGGTACGTCACAAGCAACCCTGTAGAAATAATCTACATTTTGACCTTCATCATTACAATCAGCCTTACACTGATACTCCAATAAATATTCTATAAATAAAGAGCGTTTCTTTGTCTAGTTGGATAGCGTCGTGCACTCTCTCCCTGTTCTCTTTGAGTACCATCTGTCTGGATCTGACTAGCCTCAATATTCTCCTCACTATAGGACTGTACTCCCACATTAGGCTCTCTCTGATTCTGGTTCATCATTTTTGTCCCTGCTCGTGTTGTGGGAATAGTTTCTCCATAAGTGTCAAAATCCATATTATGATTTGTCTGAGTCTGACTCTCTGCACTACTCTTGGTGATACATTTTACCAGCCTATGTTTCAGGACTTTCCCTGTCTCAGGATAAAATAATTGGAATGCTGGGTTATATTTGTCGTATCCTACAAAAATACCCTTTGCACATCTAGAATCTAGCTTCTTCTTATCCTGTTTATACCCGTATCGTTCAGAGCCAAATATTTTCATATTGGACAAGTTGGGTGTTTTGCCAGTAAAAACACGGTAAGGTGTCTGCTCTGGACGCTTACAGTAACACCTGTTACGTATCTGCGCTGCTGTCTGTACAGCATATGTCCATAACTGCTTTGGGAGGTTACTCTCCAATAGCATGCATCGTGACATCTCAAATAAGGTCCTCCAACCTCTCTCAGCAGTACCGTTCTGGTGAGGTGAGTAGGGGGCACTTGTCTCGTGCCTTATCCCTTTCGTCCTCAGTAAAGTTTGAAACTCATGCCCGGTGAATTCAGTACCGTTGTCAGATCGTATGCACTTAATGTGTCCATATGGAGCCGTATCCGCTATGAATTTTTCAGTAGCTTTTGCTTTATCACTCTTTGCTTTGATAAAGTAGGGAAACATCATCCCACTATAATCATCAGTAAATGCTATTGCATATCTGTACCCGTCTTTATCTGCTGGTTCTATTGGGCCTCATAGGTCTGTATGCACTAGCTCTAGTACTGTCTTAGCTTTTGCATCTGCCTGCCTGTTTCTGCTTTGAGTAAATGTTCCCTGCGTACATGTTTCACAGTTATGGTTAGACATGTCATGTTTCCCTTTGATCGACATTCCTTTAACTACTTTCTCAAGTTTAGACACATCCTCAAAATTATAATGACCAAGTATTCTATGCCATGTCTGGATGTCATGACAACCATTACAAACATCATCAGTATTTTCATCCTCTACTGTGCTAAGGTAATATAGCCTACCATACACATCCATTTTAAACTTAGTACCATTTTGATGAATCAGCCAATCATCACCGTCCTTGAAGCGGACCTCAGCTCCGCTGGCTGTCGCTGCTTTCACGGAGAAAATGTCCTGTGGAAAAGATGGGATGTAAAGCGCTCGTTTGAGCCTCGTTTTCACTTGCCGTCCTTCGCTGTCGAGCAGAACAACTTCGACTTCTCCTCTCATCTTCGCCATCCCGGTCGTTTTCGTTCCATCTGCCAGCTCTATCACATGGTCCTCGCGTCTGAAGCTCTTATCGATTGTCTTTAACTTTGCCGGGTCATTAATCATGTGTGTCGTGGCACCACAGACCATAAGACCTCTTATTTCCTACTTGATTTTGACAGTCACTTATTTTGAAAAAGAATGATGCACCGGTATCATCCTCCGTGTCTCCGTCTGCCTTCTTCACCTGATCACGGCCCAGCCCTCGGCCTCGCCCCCTTCCTCGGTGTGGCGTGTCCCACCGTCGCTTCTCTCGCCTCGCTAGGATCTCGTTAGGGCATGTCCTAGCCATATGCCCCATCTTTCCGCATGTGTAGCATTCAGTGTCGGCTAAGTCCATCTTCTTCCCTCTTCCACGTCCTCGTGTCCTCGCCCCGCAAGTCCTCATAACGCCGTCCTCGTCCGCATTCATGTCACTCGTCCTATATTTGTCAGTGCTCTCATAGCTCCGTAGATTAGCTTTGAACTCACCGAACGTTAGACGGTCGTTGGTTTGAATGACGTGCACGACAAACGGGTTGAATGAGTCCCGTAACCCCTTCACTACAATGGCGATCTGCAACCCGTCACTGATATTTTCTTCGGCCCTTCTCAAAGACGTGAATATAGTCTCCGCTCGAATAATATAATCAGTAACAGTCTCGTTGCTTGCTTTGTGGAGAGAAGAGAGTTCACAGTACAGGCTCACGACTCGTGGTTTGTCCTTTCCTGCGTAGTGCTCTCGGAGTATTACCAACGCTTTTCTTCCATCTCGTTTTGCGTCTCTCATGAGTGATAAACTCTTATTATCTAGACACTGCACTAATTCAGCATATGCTTCTGCATTCTTTGTTGCGTCTCCTTCAAGTGCTTGTTCGTCGTTGTAGTCTATCGCTGGCTCTTCCAGGATAACTTCACTGAGGCAGCGCAGTTCCATGTGCGCCAAAAACCTCGTCTCCCATAACTCAAAGTTTTTCTCGTCACCGTCGAATAACTACTTAAACCACCTTTGGCCTCCTTGACTGGGCCCAGAATCTGTTGCGTGAGACATTATATTCAGCAGAAGTCTCCACGTTTGCAGTCAACCAAAGTAGCTTGTAAGTATGCTAACGGACAGAAGAAACACACGACCACATCGCTCAGAGTTTGGCCTGGAGTACGGGCCGTTTATTGTAACTGCATGCTCATTAGCATCACCACGTTTCAGGCACATTCTGATGATGTCATACACATGAACTGAAACACGACTTTGCTATTATACAAATATGCTCAACACTCCCACTCAAAGATAACAGTGGTACACAGAATCCAAATAAAAAAAACAAAAGCTTCTCTAGCAGTGTTCAATTTTTAAATGTTGCAAATTTGGCAGTAGCCATCGACCGCATATGCAGTGAATGTAAATATCACAATATTAATTTTGTCCAACATTAGTCTCTCCAGGTTATTTCTTCACGCTGAGGTGTGACGGAGCTCTAAGAGGCGCCTCGTCTCCTCCGTCACCACGGGGAAAATCTTGGCTCTTTCAAAGCCGTTGAAGTCGGTACTCAGAGAGACAGTGTACGCCCCCATGTGGTGGACGAGCAGCCAGTCGCCCACCTGCAGCTCAGGAATCATGGCGCTGTCCGACACTTTATCCAAGCTGTCGCAGGTCGGACCCCAGACCACCGAGCGGTACCTCACCTCGCCGACCCCCACGGCCTACAGACAAGGATTTAAATATGAAATACAGACCAGAATTTACACCTTTACCATTCAGTATAGAGGAGAGCAGCGCTACAGTACGTCGTACTTCAAATGCGATGTAAATAAATACAAGAGAAAATAAATATCAATAAGATGTATTTAATTAAGTGTATTCCCTCTCCAAGCCTGAGTACAAGTACCTCAACATTGTATTTGAGTAATGTACTTCTGTAAATGTACTTTTTGTCTATCCACCACTGAGTATTAACCATGATCAGATACTATAAAAAGAGAGATCTTTAGAGAGTGGAGCTAATGGTCGTGTATATGAGGGTGTTCACCCTGTGAGGAAGCAGCTGGATGGGGGGGTGAGCCGGGTCGTTGACGATGCAGCTCAGGGATCCATACACTCCATCGTTGATGTAATACATAATCTGTACACCAGGGCCGCTCTCCTCACAGTCTGGAACACATCCAAAGAGGACTCACAATATGCAAACAGATGTTTAAATAACAGGAAAAGTAAATGATGCTTTAGTCCTCTGTCCCCTCGAAGTGTACATTTCACCTGGAGACGAATTCAATACTAGTTAGCAATTTATCTGACAAGCTAGCGCTGCTTTTCCTCATAAAGTGAGATTACTCTTTTTGGCGATGACGTTCACTGCCAGGGTGAAGGCCGACTCCACGTAGAACCGGCCCGGTTCTGCAATGATCTGGACCCCACAGTCGGGCGGGAATAATTTATCCAGCGCCGCATTTATAACGTCTGCAAACTGGTGGGGAAAAGCACATTTTCAGAGGGATCACACCACACTAATAATAATAACAGATTTATTTTGTTAGCGCTTTTACAGGTGCTCAAAGACGCTTTACAGATATAGTGAAAAGAAAAGAACAAATAAATATATATAGTTAAAGTAAAATAATACAAGTTCAAGTGAGTTTTTTGAAGGTGGTGAGGTCAGGGCAGTCTCTGATGGGAACTGGGAAACTGTGTAGATATTAAAGAGATAACACAACCCATATATTCCTGAAGGACCTGTAATGGCCCCCCCTCAGACTGGGAAGTCCTTACTTTGTCACTGGAACGCTGCCTTGAAGAACTTCTGAATATTTCTGACTCAGTTTACCTCTTCAAATTTGACCTGAAAGTTGTCTCTGCCGGAGAATCCACCGCCGATATCCAGGAGACTCATCTGAACGCCCAACACACTCTGAAACACACACACACACACACACACAGTCACACCATCACACTCTGAAATACATCAACACACTCTGAAAAAGACTCACGGCGATGTCGAACACTTGTCGTGCGTCGGCAATGGCTCTCTGGAAGGCCTGACTCCCGGTGCAGCCGCTGCCCACGTGGAAGCTGACGCCAATCACTGTGAGGTCCCGATCTACAGCGAGGCCCAGCAGCTTCTCCACCAATCCCAGACCAGCACCAAACTTAGAGCTGAGTCTCAGCAGCGAATCGGAGTCATCCACTGCGATCCGGAGCACCAATCTACAGGGGGTCGACCAATCAGGGATCAACCAATCACTGTCCAACCAATCACTGTTCAACCAATCACTGTTCAACCAATCACTGTCCAACCAATCACTCTTCAACCAATCACTGTCCAACCAATCACTGTTCAACCAATCACTGTCCAACCAATCACTGTTCAACAATCACTGTTCAACCAATCACTGTCCAACCAATCTATACAGTACAAGAACACTAAATGATGTTTGTTAAAAGACGATTATTTTAGTTTTCCCTACATTGAAACACTCAAGTAAAGTACCTCAAAATTGCACTGAAGTACAGTAAAGGAATACATGTACTTAGTTACTGTGTGCTAACAGAGACAGGTGGGCTCACCTGGCCTTGGGGTGACAGAGAGAGATCTTTCTGAGCTCTTCCTCGCTGTCAAAGGTCATCGTTTGGACTCGGTGAGCGGCAGCGAATCTGATGTGAGACATGGGTTTGGTTGTGTGAGCGAAGATGATGTTATCAGGAGAAACGCCGAGGTTCAGCATCATCTGGATCTCAGCCTGCAGGGGGAGGGAACCAGTTCAAACTGGATCAGGGTGTTAGAGAGCAAGGACCTGACTGTAAGATCTGCTCTGTTGGTACAGATGACACTGACCTGCACCCGCAGACATACAGGTAAATATGCTTAACAATCCCAACGCAGTACAAATGTTCACTCAACCAGCGCTTTACATGATATGTTTAAAACTTTCATACTATAATGTCAACAGGTTTCACACTGTATTAGGTTGGATGAAAGCAATACTACGTTTAAATACAAAATATTAGGTTGAACTTTAGCTTGCAACTGACCTAATAGTCCGTACGTTAGTTAGATCATTTATCAGTGAGGGGGGTCCTGAACCCTCTTCCCTATACATTCCCTCTCTAGTCTGTATGCTGCTGAGTCAGGATGAATGCAAAGTCAGTTCTAGATCTTCACAAGTTGTTCGTCCATCTTCTTGAGTTTTTATGCAAAGGTCCCTGATCTAAAGTGCTGATGGTCTGGGGTACCTTGCTCAGGTTTATCATAATGTTTTGTGAAGAGAGAGTTCAATAATAGTGAAATGAGTTTGTATGCAATGGTTTAGTGATGGGAGTTACGGCTCTTTGAAGGGAGCCGGTTCTTATGGCTCCGTTCCTTTCCCGAGAGCCGTTCAAAAGAGACGTTTTCTTTTAAGTGGCGGTGGAGATTATTTATTGGCTTTACAAATGTTGCACTCCGCTTTATCGTTGCCTATGTTTTTGTTGAAGTGCATCCAAATGCTGCTGCGTTTTCTCGTTTGGCAAATGTTTTCACCCGAAAATCACGTGGTCTTCCTGTACCACTACTTACTTGTTATGACTTCTCTCTCTTCCGTTAAGACCCGCCCCTACTCTGCCTCTGATTGGCTAACCCTAACCCACAAAATCTCCCTCCTTGTGCCCAAACCTAACCAATCAGAGGCACTCCTGCCTGAACCTAACCAATCAGAGTAGGGGCGAGTCTTCACGGAATGCGCTTGGGCAACAAAATCAAGTTTTTTTTAATTGTTCACGCAAAGGCGAGTGGATTTATGGCAGGCAGTGAACCAACGATAACAAGAATGGCTCTGACCAAGTACGACTCGGTGCCCTTCATTCATACCAAAGCGCCGTTTAAAAGAATCGAATCGTTCGTGAACGTAACATCACTACAATGGTTTAACTGGTCCCTGATCTAAAGTACTGATGGTCTGTGGTACCTTGCTGGCGCAGTCGAACCCGGTGCTCAGCGCTCTCAGGACCCTCAGCACGGCGGGGGTGTTGTTGCACTTCACGGCATAGAAAGGCTTCACTCGAGGGAGGAGAGTCAGCCACTGCTGGTGACGATCAATCACAGACTGGAGGTCCGCCACCAAGAACGGCTCCTCGCTGTCCTGGAGGGAATATTCAATACTTTACCTGAGGAAAAGTACTAATACTGCACTGAAAAACACTGAAATACTGAAACCGGTTTTTCACTCTGACCCTGTTGCCGCTATAAACGCCTGAATTCCCCCACGGGGATAAATAAAGTTCCATCTTATCTTACTTGATTAAATGTACTGAGTTTCCACCACTGATGGATGGAGCAGTGTTGAGACCCTTGACGACCCCTCGACACTCACCTCTGATTGGAGCGTTTTGATTTGATCGTCTATGAAGTCGTTGATGGACCGTCCATCGTCCAGAACGTGAACGTCACCAGAGGAGAAATCCTGCAGGGATGATCCGTTCATAGCTGCTGGTGAGGAATAACATGGATTCGTCAACAAAGGGTTAAATACATCTGGCTTTGAGAAATAAGACCGTAGACGAAGCAACAAGATGTAGAAGTAGAATATTTTCATTTACATAAAACAGCTGATTCTTAAATGCACTGTTCTGCCCGACACAAGTTTGTGAAGTTTATTGCACTATTTCACTATTTTACGTGGTTCAGTGTTGTCATAGGACTTTATCTACACATTATAAGTTAGACAGGAACCAGGTAGCATCTGTGTCTGTAATGCATCATTAATGTCAGGTGACTGAAAGCAGGTCATTAAAGGATCTGCTCGTTCCCTGGCTGTTTAATCAGTTTCTTCCCTCTTCCCTCACAGCAGTACACAGGGAGGGGGGCTCCTGACTTAGTGATAATAGACTGAGGCCCCAAAAAGGTGTTTGTGCCATAGCCGAGAATAATATGTTGCAAGTCCTGCACACTAGAGGTCATGACCTTTTTACACAAACATGGGAAGGTGTGTCTTATG